TAATTTCTAATTATTATTATTAGATCTGGCCCACTGGTATATTGACTACACTATTAGAACTGCAAGTCCCACAATGCACTGCTAGTGCAACGGCAAGTCCATCAAAGGCGAGCGCGAGTCCCTTTCCCGCTTGTTTTGTCGGTACCCTGATCGAGTGCGTTAGCTTACCTGTGGTCAACTTTCAGCTAGTGTTACCCCTCTCCCTGAAAATGGCTAAACGGAGACAGACTCTTCTGTGCGGAGACAGTGTGGCTGTAATGAAAGAATATAACGCAAGAAGACACTACGAAACGAAACACCGTGACAGGTACAAGGATTTGGACATGAAACAAAGGCTCCAGAAGGTAGAAGAGTTGAAAAGTCTGATGTCACAGCAGGAGGCTATGTTCAGAAATGTCAAATCACAAAGCGAGGCTGCTGTAACGGCTAGTTTTATTGTGGCAGCAGAGATTGCAAAATCCGCCCGACCATTTACAGAGCGAGAATTTGTCAAAAACTGCATGATAAAAGTTTGCGTTGTGTGCCCAAATAAAAGGCAAGCATTTTTAAATGTGAGCCTGAGCAGAAACACTGTTGGTGATCATGTAAAAATCAGCTCGCCACCAATCTACAACAACTGATGGGAAAGGATTTCATTGCATACTCCCTAGCTGTGGATGAGAGCAACGACACTCCTGACACTGCCCAGCTATCAGTCTTTATCCGTGGAGTGGATTCAAGTCTGTGTGTAACAGAGGAACTTCTGGGATTACGCTCGGTGCATGGCACAACTACGGGAAAGGATATCTTTCAGGAGGTATCCAAATGTGTGAATGAAATAGGGCTGCCTTGGGATAAACTTGTGGGCTTGACCACAGATGGAGCACCCGCGATGTGCGGTCAAAAGAGCGGATTGGTTTGCAGGATCCGGGAGAAGATGCGAGAGGAAAACGGCGCAGGTGGGTTGACAACTTATCACTGCATCATTCATCAGGAATCACTGTGCGACAAATCCTTGAAAATGGAACATGTTATGAGCACCATAACACAAGCAGTTAACTTCATAAGAGCTAGAGGTTTAAATCACCGACAGTTCCAAGCTTTTCTGGAGGTGTTAAGTTCAGAATATGGTGACTTGCCTTATCACACAAAGGTGCGGTGGCTAAGCCAGGGAAAGGTGTTGAAAAGATGTTTCGAGTTGTGCAAGGAGATCTGTGAGTTCATGGAAAGCAAAGGGAAAGACATGTTAGAAAATAACCCAATTCTTTTGTTGGAAGCACGAGAAGTGAAGACAGGAGAGGACTATTTAAAAATCAACAAAGTTTACTGAATGTCTGATCACAAGTAGGCCTTACAGCGCTGGGATCAGAGGGACAGAGCTCCTGCAGGAGATCTGACTTCTGAACCCCGAATTAAGTTCTTACAATACATTTTATCTTCTTGGGCTGCTCCGCCCTGGACAGAGGTACAACAGCTTTTTGATCCTATTGTCCGTTTGATGTGAACCGAAGCTCCCCTTTGTTAGAATGTGGTCAAGTCTACAGTGTGTGTGTGTGTGTGTGTGTGTGTGTGTGTCTCAGGTTGTAGACCCCAGCCTCTGCAGGACATCCCGAGACAAAGCAAAGATTGGGATATGCTAAGTGGGTTGAGGTGTGAGTGTAGAACAGGCCTTTGCTAACATGTAAATAGACTGTCTGGTCACAAAGAGATGCAGACATCTAGTCTCTACACAGAACTTACAGCATTCAAAGTAAGCAGATTCTGCTTCATTACATCTGTAAGATATGTAAGCAAGGGAAACAAATGCATTAAAATAACCGAAGCTCAGTAGTTCTGGACAATCATCAATACAGCTGTAATATGTATAAACAAGGAAAATAAAGTTATGAAAAGTAACTAAAGGTATGAGAAGTAACTAAAGCTGATAAAGTAACAAGAGCCTATAAGACTCAAATCTTACAGACACAACAGAGTTCCGGGACAAAAAGTTTGGGTGAGTTGGCGTTTCTGTGTGACATCATGAGCCATCTCAATGCGCTCAACCTGCAGCTTCAGGGGCGCGACCGTTTGATCACAGACATGTACTCTTCAGTGAGGGCTTTTAAAACCAAGCTGCACCTATGGGAGACGCAGATGCTACAAGCAAACTTGAGCCATTTTCCGTGCTGACAAACCATGAAAGAGCATGTCTGTACCACTGTGTTCCCCAGTACACAGTTTGCCGAAAAACTCGACTTTGAAGCCCAAAAAAAACAGATTCGAACTGCTCAGTAATCCATTTGCAGCTGATGTGGAAAACGCACCATCAAACCTCCAAATGGAGCTGATTGAGCTCCAATGTAGTGACTCACTCAAGGCAAAATATGATAATGTGGGCGCTGCACATTTTCCACGTTTGATCCCCAACACAATGCCCCAGCTACATTGTTGTGACAAGGATCTGAAATGAAGATAATCATAACGTCACACAGAAGTCGTCTTACTGATGAACAGCTTCACTCAATCCTGAGGATTTCCTCAGCTCAGAGCCTGACCCCAGACATAGATGAACTTGTATCCAAGATGAGACACCAAGTGTCTGGCTCAGAAGATCGTACTTAATTGAATTAAAAAGTGTAAAAGCTGCATAATCGACGCAAATGTCCAAGATTGATTGTATAATGGTCAACTAGAAAAGTGCAGTTATTGTTCAGTTGTATTGTTTAAAGTGCAGTTATTTTATTGTCCATTTGTTAAAGTTTAAGGTGTGTATATATATTTTTTTTTAATTGTTAATTTGTCTTGTTTGTTTAGTCAGCCACCTTCAGGTCTCATTAGAAAAGTATTACAGAGCAGCAAACTGAGCTTTAATGCATGTTTATTTATTTTTACTTGCTACTACAGGGCATCTGATTTTTTTCTTTGAAGTAAATTCATTTCTCGCTGTTGGCCTGTAGAAAAAAATGTTTTCACTTTAAATTACTCTGGAAACGCTGCATAAAGAGCCATAAGAAATGAACGCAACTGATTTTTCATTTATTTAATGGTTGATGTTGCTTTATAGGAAATAACTTCTGTTCAGTTTTCAGGTTCAATATATTCAATAAAGTCATTTCAATACTTAACCAGTCCGGCCCTCAACTTGGAGCATTTTAAAAATTTTGGCCCACTGTGTATTTGAGTTTGACACCCCTGCATTATATGAAATAACACTTTGAGGCAAAGACTTTGCATCAATAATTTTTAGTCCTCGTGTTACTCGAGGAATAGTTGAGCCCTAGTCAGGGATTTATTAATGAATTCTCGGTTGTCATTCTAATTGTTTTTATTATTTTTATTGTGTTTGTGGTGTGATGTCACATCTTTGTCTGTTTAACATCTTGGGATAACACAATCATGTTGGAAATAGGTGTTCTCATTTCAACATATAATCCCTTTTTTGATTTAATGCAATCATAAGTAAACCATATCACATAGAAAAGAAATTCATTGTTGTTCACAAAGGGAGAGATTTGGTTTGCAGCCTGGAGAAACAGGTGAGTACAGGTCACAGGTCACAAACACCTGAAAGGTCCTGAAACAAAACTATTCTAGAAAACCTTTGGACAAAAATGCCTGAAAATACAGAAAACAAGTGTAACTGAAGACGATTTAGTTGTCTGTTCTGCTCATTGCCCCTGGTTCATACTAATGTGCAACAGGAGAATAAACGGCTAGACTCAGCTTCATGCTTGTGGCTGATTGTTTAACCTTCAGTGTGCTTTTATTGTGAAGGCTAAGCAACAGAACAAGAAGTAGTGATGTTGGGTGGCCTGTTGGAGACGGTTTAAACATTCAGAGACCACCTTTTGTGTTTTGTGTTTTTTTTTTTTTTAGCAGGTCAAACAAATCTTGGCCTCTAAGGCCTGGCTCTTTGTTTTAAAGGAGTATTTTAATCTCTGTTTGTTTGTGTCATAGTAACCAGTAAATCTTTGAACCTTGTAACCCTCAGATGTTTGATTTGAGTCAGTAGTTTAGGGAGACTGATTCAACTGGTCCCAGTCAGATCCTGGTGTGAGACAGAAGCAAAGCAGCAGATCCACATGAACTGGCTCTGTGAAATGTTTCTTTTCTTCTCGTGATTGGCAAGTGTCTCGTTACTTCCTGTCCATGTTACAGCAGCAGCAGCAAGATCATCGGCGCCCCTCTGCCTTCCCTTACGGACATCTTCAACATCCGCCTCACCCACAGAGCCATCAGCATTGCTAATGACACCTCCCACCCCGCACACTCCCACTTCAGACTCCTGCCCCTCCCTTCCCGGACCATAACCCACCACAGAACATAAAAACACATATAAAGACTACCTCTGCTGTTGCACAAACTCAATACATTCCCCCTTTTTGTTATATTATATGTGAATCTACTGCTGACTGTTCTTACTGTTCTTTTTACCATCATATCTGCTGCTGTTGGTCATTTGCACTGCTGTCCATGTACATTTTATAAGCTATTATGCATCTCATCACCAATGCCCCTGGTGATGCTGACCACCTGACAATCTTCTTATTTGCACTACTGTCAATGTTTGCACATGACTTGAGTGTCATCATACCCTTAGGTTGTACCATCTAGTTTATCCTTATTACTTGAATTCAGAAAAAACTTGAACTTGAATGCCCATACCATTTCAGAAACTAAAATAGAATAAACAGAATATGAAAACTGAATTCAAGTATGTCCGTGCAGATTCTCAGTCATCCAGGTCATAGTAAACTGATATACACTTTCAAGGGCCTCTTGGATGAGAGGTGAAACGTCTTCGACCTAGAAATCTAGTCCAGTTGATTTTTTTTCTAAGTGTATTTCAGTTTACTATGACCTGGATGACTGAGAATCTGCACGGACATACTTGAATTCAGTTTTCATATTCTGTTTATTCTATTTTAGTTTCTGAAATGGTATGGGCATTCAACATTAGGTGAGAGAGAAACAGTATTTCGATTTTTCTGTATGTCCTGTACATACAGTGAATTGACAATAAAAATCTTTGATCCTTGCAGAAATGACTGGACCCATACATGAAATGACCCACAACAGCCAGCAGAGGGAGCCCCTCACCTTTTCCCCCATCTCTTGCCATGAAAAGGTAAAGACCCTGAGACCACATCAGACCAGAACAGGGGCCTCATTTATGAAAGTGCATGTAGGATTCATACAAAATTTTACATGTGTACAAAACACAAATGAATTTGGCAAAAAAAGTAAAAATTAAATAATAGAAAACTGTGTGCATGGGCAAGTCCATGAAATTTTCCCTTATAAATCATATTCAACTTCAGTATGAGAAACTTGAGAAAGTCTGGTTAGCTGTATGTTCTGCCTAAAACACTTCCATGATTACCAATTCACCATTTGTATGGTCAATGCCAGACTAGTGCTGTCAATAAAAAAACATTTGCGTTAATCACAGTCATAGGCTGTTATTAAACACTAGGATTTACATGTATTATAAATATGTCCTGCATTGGAATAAAGAAACACATGACAAACTGGCTAGAGGAAACAGATTCTTCCGTTTTTTAACATCTCAAACATTAACATTTCAACAAATGTTAAATTCTCTTGATTTGCCGACTATAAGTCTCAGGGAGTGTTTGACATTGCCCAAAACATCCATACAGTGAGGAACAGAAGTATTTGAACACCCTGCGATTTTGCAAGTTCTCCCACTTAGAAATCATGGAGGGGTCTGAAATTCACATTGTAGGTGCATTCCCACTCTGAGAGACAGAATTAAAAAAAAAATTCAGGAAATCACATTGTATGATTTTTAAAGAATTTATTTGTCTTGCACTGCTGAACATAAGTATTTGAACACCTGAGAAA